TGTTGATATTTGTAAGAACGAAGAATTCGTGACAATTAAAATTTCTATAAATATAAATATTTATCTTATCACAGGATGATTGTATATTTTGAAGCATAATGTTTATGACATTTTTTAACATTTAAATATGAAGAGTACTATCGATGATAGTATCATTTTTATGAATACATTAATTGATATTATCTCATGTAAATGTAAAACAAATATTATATTTAATTCGTATTATATTCAAGAATTAGAAGCATGTTGGATAAATGGTTATGTCATTTGATTTCAAACCAAGAGGTGGTGGTACCATAAAAATTGAACCGCAAAAAACGAAAAGGCAAAAAAAAAATAATAAATTAAAAAAATAAAATAAAACAAAAAAACTAACAAAAAACCGCAAAAAAAAAAAAAACAAACCGCAAAAAACCGAAAAAAACTGCAAAAACCGAACCGCATAAAAACCGAACGGTGCGGTTTCTAAACTTCAAAAAACCGCAGTTGCGGTTTTCGGTTCGGTTTTAGGCAAAAACTGCACCGAACCGCACCATGCTCACCCCTAATTATATGGATGTATGTGTTTATATAATTTTGTCAAAACCCAACTCATATGAGCCAATTCAAAATGTCAATTTATAACATTTACACAAATACACATGAATTAGGACAAAAATAATAAAAAAGGAATAAACCAAAGAATTTAAGTGAAGTCTAGGCATCAAATCAGAGATCTTAGTAAAGACTACTGAAGAATTTAATTGAGAAGGAGCTAACATGGAATTTGGGTCCTAATCTAATCACCAAAAGGAAACTAATCTCCGCCCACCGCATTGTGTCGGTAGCAATTAGTTTCATTTCAGCTTACTTACACCCCTAAACACATGCATTGTAGTTTAGTTGTTATGTATCACTATTATTTGTGAAGACATATACATACATGTACATGTTGCTATTATGGGCTAATAACTATAAGTGCATTGCTATTATATTTAAAGAAAATGTTAGTATGTTGATATAATGTGTTATATACATATTGCTATTATTGCTAAAAATATAAGTATGTTGCTATTAAAAGTATTAAAATCCTTTTTTGCCTTTTTAGTAAGAAGGGGAAAATCCATATTTTTCACAGTTTAATACATGTATTCATACACTCATTCACAGTTTAATACACAACATTCATGAAATTTAAGATACCATTCATAATATATGCACAACTCATAATATATAAAATAAAATAAAAATACATTGTAATTAACACTATTCATAGTTTAATACATCAATTTATACACTTATTCACAGTTTAATTTACATTATTCATAGTTTAAACATTGCATATTCATTGAGAGATTACATCAAACACCTTGTGGAATCTTGTTTCTAGAACTTCCCTCTCTAAACTATGCCACTAATCAAAAAGAAAGAGTATGGCGAAGCAGATCCAAGAGAAGGGAGGACACGATAGTGGTGGAACAAATTTTACATAGATGTGGCGGTGGGAGAGGGAGGACACAGTTATGGAATCAATATGATGCAGATCTGGTAGTCTTTCACTAAAAAGAAAGAGACACATGACACATGAGAGGGAGGACACAACGGTGATGCGGTCGTCAATGGTGGCGGCAGTCTTGAAACTTGTTGAGAAAAAAAGAATCAAATCTTAGGTGGCTATGAAAGTGGGTTCTTTTTTTCCATTATTTGCCATCTATGCCACCGTTTGTTTTTAGTTGTTGATAAAAAAAATTAAAAAATCAAAAGCTAAGATTAATTCCTAATTGTTGCTAATATATATAATTTCATACGCGCGCGCATGGGGGTGGGGTAGGAGGGGGGAGGGGAGGGGTAATTTCCCGCTTACTCGCAAGGAGATGATGTGGAGCACATAAAAGATTTGGCGATAAGCCTATATGGGAAAATGGAGGAAATAAAAAAGGGGACAAAGGTGGCATAACTTAAAATGAACGTAACATTTGATCCATTAGGAGTTTGGAGATCCGTTTATATTGTCAGAAGGCGGATTGTCCAACGGTCGCAAAAAAACACCCGTTTTAGACCCTAAGTTTCAACCTTCCCCAAATTCAACCATTTTCCTTATTTTGTTTCATTATAACTTAAAATGGACGTAACTTTTGATCCATTAGGAGTTTGGAGGTCCGTTTTATATTGTCAGAAGGTGGATTGTCCATCAGTCACGAAAAACACCCATTTAGACCCTAAGTTTCAACTTTCCCCAATTTCAACCATTTTCCTTATTTTGTTTCATTATGTTTTTATTATAGTATATCAATTTTCCATCATTTATGTTTTGTTTGTATGATAGAATATCAGTTTGCATAATTTATGTTTTTCCCTTCTTTAGTTAAGAGTTTAATTATGGAAAAATATTGTCGATTTTAATTTTTGAAATTTGGCAATATCTGACAACTAGAAATATAATAAACTTCGTTTTGTTTTACACGTCCTCGCTAAAAGTCGATAAAAATCAATAAGTACATTATCATAATTAGCGAGTATAAGGACATCTAATGATGGCATGAAGTCCTTACTAAAAGCTCCTATGCTAAACGGCATATTTCTTGTAGTGTCCCGTATAGTGCTAAACTTGTCCCAAAACAGCCTCATAGGTCGAATCCCCAATGTCTAGGTGTTGAGTTATAGAGTTTGATCTTCACTTTGATCAAAGTGGTTTTATCCCATTGTTGATGAACAAGAGCTCAGGATCCATAGGATGCAAAAGTAAGATACATACATATTGGAAAATAACCTTAGATTTATCAATATTGCTAAGTATGTGTTTGATTCATGTCCATCTTTTGTTCTTTCTATTTCCTTCTAGCCAAATTTTTGGAATAGATTCATGTCATTACATATAAATAAATAAATAAAAGAAAGAAACCAAAGAATTTGTTTGATCAAAGCCTCGTTCCACAATCATTTCTTTAATACAAAAAGATGACTACAATAAGGAGAATGTACAGCTGTTCCTAAGTAAAACATTTTTGTGTTTTCCGAACATATAGTTAAAACAAGCGCAAGTCCTAAAATATGGATGCAATCTGACCTGATTCCAGAACTTTTTTGTACAAAAAAATAAAAATAAAAAAATAAAAAAAAATCAGATCTCAGGTGTGGCTGGTTGTTATTGTGTTGAGTTCTACAACTTCAGAATTTGTTGATGCTCTACTTCCAGCATTTCCTCTTTCAACTTCACTGTCATCATCCTGCATCTTGATACTCTCTTTTGATGCGTCGTAGGTGGCATGCAATCCCACTAGAAAATAATATGCAAGCAAGACCATTGTCCACACCATGAACCTCAAGAAAGAAGCTCCATCTATTGACCCCATCATGAACAAGTTCAATGCAATGCTACCTGATGGCAGCCATGGTACCATTGGAGCCCCCCATAGCTTTGGGCTCCTCGCTTGCTTCACCATCAATCGGATACCCAATGTTGAACAAAACCAAACTCCCACAACAATAAGATACACCCCCAAACTATTCACTCCCCACGCCCAAAGCAATGCAATCCCAGTAGCAGAACTCACAATCAGCATCAACAACACAATCAGCTTGTTTCTATCTTCATCAGATGTCACCCCTGTTGAGTAATATCGTCTCACTAACAGCCCGATTGCCACCAACGAGAAAATGAATAAGGTAGAAATTGAAAGAAGACTTGCCAACACATCAAGGCTTGTGAAAAACGCGACAAGGCAGTTTGCAGCAGTCATGATAATTGCAGCATTCACTGGTGTCCCTAGCTTTTTGTGAATCACAGCAAGAATGGGTGGGGCCATGTGGGTCCTAGCTATATGAGTGAAATACCGGGATTCTGCTATGATAGTTGCCAGAAGAACAGTAGTCATTCCTTTTAACGCGCCTAACCCGACTAAAATCTTTGCCCAATTCATTCCCACAACTTCAAATGCAATAGTGAACGGAGCATCGACATCGATTTGATTGTAGGGTTGCATTAGGCAAATTACAGTGGCAAGAAGTGAGTAAGTGGTGATAACAATCAACATAGATCCAACTAAGCCGATTGGTATATCTCTCCCCGGTTTCTTGGTTTCTTCTCCCAATGTTGCCACTCCATCAAACCCAACATATGCAAAGAAAAGAACAGATGATGCTTTAAAAATACCCCGAATACCGAAAGGCGCAAAAGGATCAAAATTGGCTGGATCAGCCTTTGTTGCTCCTGCTATAAGTATGAAAAGAAGGACACCAATGTGGATTATGGTTGCTACAGAATTAAACCTTGATGATCCTTTGACACTGAAAGATGCAATGATACAAATGATGGTAGATACCGCTGCAGCCATTGGGTCTAAATAGTCGAAACCCTTTCCCATTGAAGGGACATGTATACGAAAATCATTAGGCTTATAGTTGCATAAAGTTGCAAAATAAGAAGTCCAAGAACGCGATACACTAGCTCCAGCTACAACATACTCAAATAAGATGTTTCCAGCTGCAATATAAGCAACAAAGTCACCAAGCTCAACTCTTAGATATGCAAACGAGCCTCCTGCTACAGGAAGCTCAACTGCAAACTCGGTGTAGCAGATGACAGAGAGCAAAGCAGCACAACCGGAGATTAGGTAGGATAGGAGAACAGCTGGACCAGCCAAATCATGAGCAGCTTCTCCTGTAAGGACAAAAACTCCAGCACCCATCACAGCTCCAACACCAAACCAGATGAGGTCAAACCAATTGAGGGTCCGTTTCATCTGGTTTTGACTTCGAGCACACATTCCATGGATCTCATTGTCATCTGAGGAACGGGCTAACAGACGTTCTTTCAAACGGGCTCGTGTTTCTAGTAAGGCTTTGCCATAGTTTGACCAGCTCTTGAATGATTCTTCTGGGAAGAAATCTGATCTCAAACATACACAAGATTTTTTCTTAGGATCATCGTCCACATCGGTACTTTGTTCGTGAGTAAGGTTGTCATGGTCATTGACATTCCCATTCCCACTCCCACCGCCATCGCTATTTCCATTGTTAGTGACATTGTCCGCTTCATTGTCATTCCCATTCCGGTTGCCATTGTCGTTGTCATTGTCATTGACATTGTTATTGTCGTTGCTATTGACACTATGATTACTGTTGCCACCACTATCCTCATTTCTGCCACTACCATTGTCATTACTGTTGTCATCACCATCACCATTGCCATTACTATTGTTATTGTCATTGCTACTATTAGTGTCATTGTTGTTGCTGTTGTCATTAAGATTTTCGACGTCATTGCCAGTGGCATTGGTATCCGCCATCTTTGATGTCCTGAAATAGATTTTAAAATATCAAACGGAAAGCAGAAAAAAATGAGACCTAGAGGTGTCTTGTAACCCTTCCACTTTTTTTTTTTTTTTCAAAAAAAAAAAGCAGAATTCTTTATTGAAAGTAAATCCCCCCTCTCCATCCATTAGACAAATTAAAATGTTGTTGATACAGATACGAAGGTTGTTGTTGGCTAGCTATGCCTTATATAGCCTACTCAAAAGATCTGTGAAAAAATCTTAATATTGGAATATGGGAGCTGAAGCCATGTCCACTGGAGCACTTTCTCATAGTCGAGTGACACCATATTTCTACAAGAATCCTTGTCATCTTAAATGATTAGTTTAATAACTCCTTCGTATATTTCAGGCAAATTATTTTCCAGTATTAGAATTGGCATGAATTTCTTCGTAAATTTTCAAATTTCTAATACAAATACTAGACCAAAGAAGGCCAAAAACCAATCCAACAACGAAATATAATATAGAAATAGAATTTTACATTGCAATTTTGAAACGATCTAAAATTCCACGAAATTCTGTATATATTAAAGGCGTATGATATTAAAATTACAAATGCATATTACCTCTAAGTGCATTCTAACTGAAAGTAATTTTGATTACGCAATATATCAATAATTTTCCTAATTTGAACTGGATTGCCTCCAATGCACTGGACTTCAGCATTTCAGAACTACGGTTAATTAAGATGGGAGATGCGTACCTGTTGATTGTTGTATTGAGGAAGATTGAGAATGGGAGGAATGAGGAGCATCATGTACATCGGTCAGTAGGATTTATACATAGAGAGTGTGGTTGCGACGGCATACAAGTAGGGTAATTAGTTAAGGAGTTTCTAAGAATAGCATGTAAGAACGACCAAGTGCTTGAATCAAGATGATGATTCTTATACTAATTGAGTAATAAATTCCTTGAAATTAGGGTTTATATGGAAAAGTAAGGAAACGAAATTGTATGGTTATCTTTATAGTTAATTATTAAACAAAGCAGATATACTATTATCTTAGTCTACTAGTAAGTAGCAATTCGATATCACTACAAGAATACGGAGCTATAGCAACGACAAGTCGTCGGGATAGGTATCGAGAAATCTATTTTCCATTTATTTATATTCCATGGTCCAGTATACCAGAACGACGTGGTTTTATGGAATCTATACCGATGACTTGTCGTCGGCAGGCCACGTGGCGATCCGCGTGAAATGCCTATCCCGACGACATGTCGTAGGCACAGATTTTTCATTTTTAATTTTTTTTTGTTTCAGCAAAAAACGAAACGACATCGTTTATCGAGACCCTATACCGATAACATGTTGTCGGCATAAGGGTTTACCGCAGTCAGTCTTTCATTTGCACACAGCGACGCAAAAGTTTATACCTCTCCGGCGAAAATCACAATCAAACTTCCAAACCGGCGATTAACACCAGGTAACATCTTTTCTACTCAGATTTCTTTCTTTATTTTTGTGTGTTCAAGGTTTTTACCTCTAATTTGGGGTTTTTTTTAGTGTTTATAGCTATTCATCGGTTTTGGTTCACCACCGTCCGTCTTCCACCACCTTCAGCCTTCCTTCCAGCTTCTTTCCTTCACTGCCACAGAATGTAAGAACTTGGTTGGTTTTTCGGGTTTTTTTCTGATTTGGTGTATTTCCGGTGACCACCAGCCACCACCGGAGGATCCCATCAAATTTGACAATTGGAATAAGGGAGGTTATGCCAACGACTTCTATACCGATGACCATATTCACCCTATGCTGACAGACCTATGCCGACGACTCTGTGCCGACGACATGTCGTCTGTATACCCTATGACGACGACTTGTCGTCTGGACAGGGTCTGATTGTCGTCTCCATAGGGGTTAATGTTGTAGTGAAGGCACCTTGTGTTGTGTTGAGGAGTTCATGGTTTTATTAAAGGGTGTTCGAAAAAAAAAGTTTATGGCTTATTAGCTTATTAGCTTATAAGCTAATTATAAGCTAATAAATTAGAGGGAGTTAACTTATTAAATGACTTATTAGTAGTTTGTCACCGCTATAAGTTATTTTTATCCAAATATTTTTTTAGCTTATAGCAGTGTGAAACCGGTAATAAGCTAATAAGCTCATTTGCCAAACACCCTCTAAGCAAAAACTCTTAGGAGTGCGGTATATTTTTGGTTTGGTAAATTTCGTTCGTTTTCAAGTTAACATTCGATTTCAATCACCTACATGTCATGCCACGTCAACTTTTGTTAGTTTTCGGAAAAGATCCAATAGTTTTTTTACGAAAGACTTTACATTTTGATATTCTATGATGATTTTATAGTAATTATGATGATAATGATGTTTTGTATGCTTAGATAGTATAATTGTATTTTAGGAAATTACATGCTAAATGGTGTTTACAATGTTAAGCAGGGGCGGAACTTGAACGATTAATTTGGTTGGGGGAGGGTGAAGTATTAGAAACTAAAATTAACGTTCTTACACATAAAAGAACCAAATCCTTTTCAACAATTAAACACCAAAGTACCTAGAAGAAGAGTTACAACTCAGCCCGACGACATTTAAGGTCTTTAAATTCATCAATTACTGACTTCATATCAATATTTTCAACAATTTCTCTTTCTATATAAACCACCAAGTTGTTTGCGAGAAAGTCATCAGAATTCTTATTGCAAAGGCGGTTCTTGAATATTTTTATTGTTGAAAATCCATTCTTTGTTGTTGCGGTAGAAACTGGAAGCGTCAAGATTAACCGAACCACTCTATCAAGCAAATAATACATCTCACGTTTCTGAGTTTCCACAAGACCCTTGCATAGGTCAACAATAGTTTATACACAACGTAGCTTGGGATTCTTTGTCATATCGTTATAAAAATCTCCAATTTTTGATATCGTAATTAAATTCTCTCTTGCTTCGTAAAATCTTCAGGATAATATTTCTCAACAAGAAGACAAATGTGATCAACGTTAATCACTTTAGGGTGTTCTTTTGAAACTAAAGTAAAACTAAGACTTAACAACTCCATTGCATGAGCATTGAATCTACTATTCAACTCATGTAATTGTTTGTCCAATGTGGATGTAAACAAATATACTCGATAAAAATGTTTAAAAGTAACGTGATTATCGTTTTTTCGAGGCCGGTATCTGTAACGCCTGGTTCCTGGTACGTATTTAAATTCTTAAAATGTTCAATTTATAAGAGCTACTCGGCGAGTTGGTAGCCTTAACTCGTCGAGTAGGTGCCAGCTTGGTCGCGGGATTTAAATGGTCTACTCTACGAGTCCATGCCTGGACTCGGCGAGTAGGTCCATCAGGAGGAAATCCTAACCTGTGGGGCTTGCACCCTATTTAAGCAACATAACAGGCCTCCACCCCAGCCTCCATCACCTCCACATCCCACTCTCGAAACCCTAAGCAGCTATTGAGTGTTTTTTTAAGCTTTTCTTGCCTTTTGTGTGATTTGAGGATAGAAGGAGGAAGGAAAGGCTAGAAGATCCAAGGAGAAGGCAGAAGATTTGGTGTTTGTGTTACATTTCGGAACTCTTGAAGGTATAAAGCTTGTACCTTGGTTTCTTTCCACTTAGATCCTCATTTAAGTTGTTTATGGTCTTTTTGGGGCCATTTCTAAGGTCATTTCCGAGTTGAGAACTTTTGGGGACATATGGACTTTAGATCTAGGCACTCTTGAGCTCCAGAAGCTCAAAGTTGCCACCTTTATTCAGCCATGTCCCCATTCCATGCATTAGGTTCTTATGTTTAGCTTGGCTTTGGTGTTCTAGCTTTATAACATCATGCATGTCCGTAAAGTTAGCAACTTTAGGTGAAAGGCTAGCCTAAGGTGTCCAGATCTATGAGTTGGAAGCACTGGAATAGATTAAATCGACTGAATGGAAATGTCACAAGGAGGACTCGACGAGTTGTTCTTGGAACTCGGCGAGTCGGGTCGTGAATCCTAACTCCTTTTATGGGTATGAGTGAAACCACTGAGTCTAGGAGATGACTCAGTGAGTTGGACAAGATTAGGACTTGGAAGTTGAAGAACTCGACGAGTCCAAGGAGGGACTCGACGAGTAGGAGTCGATATGTCCTGATGTTATGTCAGGAAGAACTCGACGAGTCTGATAAGGGACTCGACGAGTGGACTTAGTTGACCACGGGTCTGATTTGGTCACGAACTCGCCGAGTTGGGAGAGGACTCGACGAGTAGGGTTGACTGGGATTTGACTTTGACTTTGACCTTGACCAGGGGTAAAAGGTCATTTTACCCTAAGAAAGGATTAGCAGATTCTGATTAAGTGTTATATTGGAATTGATAGTGGGGGAGTCGCCGGAGTAGCAGACAGGGATCTCTCACTAGGGTTTCAGCAGCCAGTCTTGCAAGGTGAGTTTCCTTCAGTAGGAATGGGTCTACGACACCAAGTTCGGCCCATATAAGTGATATATAGTAGTTTAGAATGGGCGGGGCTCGATGCTTATATTATTACTTGAGTATAGATATGTGATTGATGGATAGATGTACTTGTTGTCTGTGTGATACTCGTATGCATGTTAGTAATGGAGTGTGGGCGGGGGCCCGAATCTCCTAGATAGCGGAGTGTGGGCGGGGCCCGAATCTCCATGAGAGTGGGCGGGGCCCGAATCTCCATGAGGGTGGTTGGGGTCCGAATCTCCTAGATAGCGGGGTATGGGCGGGGCCCGGATCTCCCAGACAGCGGAGTGTGGGCGGGGCCCGAATCTCCATGAGAGTGGTCGGGGCCCGTATCTCCTAGTTGCATGTTATTTGTAGGGTATGTGGTAGTTTAGGGAACTCACTAAGCTTCGTGCTTACAATTTTCAGTTTGTGTTTCAGGTACTTCCACTAGCAAGGGGAAGGGCTCGGGATGATCGCATGGCACACACCATAGTCTTCAGCCTGGGAGTTTTACTCTGATATTTTCATATGAGATTTTGACATGTGACAGATATTATGATACTTTATGATACAT